GTCTTGTTTCAGACTTTCCCATGTTTTATCAATTATCAAATGTGTCTTATCAGAAACAAATTGGTCCGACTGATTCCTGATCCAGATCCACCGACTCCAATTCAAATTACCAATTTTTTAAAACCTATAGCCAAGCAAGCCAATTGGGTGTACATCACCGGTCATTGAGGAACCCTGGCAACATAATGGTACTCTAGTGGCCTTTTTTTTTCTTGAAAGCTATTGAGTACTCCTTTAGGTGTGTACCTTCAGGACTTGGACTTAGGGTACCTTCTGGCTTTTTAGAAAAGTCGAGGAGCACACTCGCGGTGAAAGAAAAAGGAGGGCGTGTGTGTTGTTATAATTCCATTTGGTCAGGTCAGGCTCAGAGAAGGGGCACGGCATGAAAAAAAAAAAAGGGGCAGTCTTGAAAAGAAGTGACTTTGTCTTGAATCCAGTAAAAAGTGTTCCTAGGGATAAGTGCCCTATACTAGGGTTATAGCTTTAGTGTTATCTAGCCCTAAACACCCCCAAAGAGGAAAACATACGCAAAGAATAACCTTTTCTTCTTTTTTTATACTTTTGATATTCCCCAACTTCCATCATGTGCTAACTACCACACTGCGTATCTCCAATTCCATTCGTTATACAATTAGATGAGGACAATTTTTTTGGGTTTTAACTGAGATAAAGGGTAATTAACGTGAAAGTATTTTTTATAAGTAAATTTTTTTTTATATATTTTAGTTTTTTTATCAAATTTTTATCGAAAAAATTTATATAAGATTACAACCTTAAAATATAGAATTATATGTACACTTCAAAAATCTATGAAAAATAATGTTGAAAAACCATCTAATTGATCATCTCGACATCCAGATGTATGAATATGAAAAAAAAAAAATTAAAGATTTTGAGTCCAAAAAATAATGCATCTTGCAACATAAAATCTAGACCGTCTATTTTCAAAATTTTCATATATTCATAGATCCACTTGATTTTAATTATTTTTGGAGTTTTAAATTTTAAAATTAGATATAAAAATAGCTTTTTAGATAATCCTAAGAATTTTTAACACTAAAATTACATGTTATAATAAAATTTGGAAGTGAACCTTAATTGGATTGTTCAAGGTTGCAACCTAAAACCATACCTATTTTTTATTTTTTCCAATATATAGTAGGCATCAGATTGCATCAAAAATTCTTTTTGAGAAGTCAGTTTGAGGCTTTTGCTACTTGACTCATTTCTCTATAATAATATGGTTTGGCACTTTAAGTGCCAAACTGAATTCATCATCATCATCGAAGTTTTTTTCAATTAATTGGAGTCAATTACATGAATATTGATATATCATTCTGCTCTATTAAGAGACATGGATTCATAAGAAGTTTTAACAAAATTTTACTTTGATTGCCTGCCTAATACAATCCACCTTTGAGACGGGTTAAAGAAAACTCTAAGATCATCACCAATATATGAAAAACTCTTCCCAACGTCTATAGGCGAAAATAAACAGTGATTTCTCCTACCCCTCATCACCATCCAAACTTCATCGCACGGTCACAGTTGTCCGGTAGTGTTTCCATTTTCATTTTCTTTCTACAAATCCAAATTACTTGAAATTTGGAGCTGTGTAAATTTTAATGAGGCGCACTTAATAAAAATATGAAAAAATAATTTACAAAATATAAATTAACCAAAATACCTCTCAAATTTATGGAGGTATTTCGGTCAATTTATATTTTACGAATTATTTTTTTCATATTTTTATTAAGTGCGCCTCACTAAGATGTACATATGCTATAAATTTCAGATCATTTCGAATACTAAAAAAAAAATGAAAATTGAAATACTATTAGACAACTGTAATCGTACGATGAAGTTTTGATGGTGATAAGGGTAAATAAAATCGCTATTTATTTTTGCCTATAAGCGTATTGTAGTATCTTCCTCTCTCTTTCTCTATATATATGGGTGCGGTTTGTATAGAGCCTAGGCTCGAAACAATCAAATCAAAGCCTACCTTCAAATGGTGTCGAAAAATGTGGTTTCAATACTGAAAATATTTGTGATAGCCTTAAAATATATGTTCATATTTATTTATAAAGTTTAAAGCTTCAAAAATAATGTAGATCGATAGATCTTTGAAAGCTTGAAAATATTAAAAAATTGACGGTCTAAAAAATGCCTTACAAAATACAATATTTCCAAAACTTGAAATCCATTTTTTTCTCATGTCCATGCATCTTGAAGTCAAGATGATCAATTTGAG